TTCTCCTCTGGCTTACATTCATATTGTTTATATATATATATTAAATATAAATATTGTTTATGTATAAAACGGCACGTGAATGCTTTATGTGAACGCTTGCCTAAAGAGATGCGTCCCCAATCCAGCCCCAAACTGTGCCAGCGAGTCAGAGCCTCGGACCGTATCGGGAAGGCCACTCCAGAGCCCTGGAGCCAAATGCGAGAACGCCCTCCCTCCTCTAGTGGACCTAGATATCCCAGGAATGACCAGAAGCCCCGAATTTAGTGATCTTAAGGAACGCGGCGGATTGTAGGTCGAAAGAAGGCCCGTCAAGTACACAGTAGCTAAACCATTTAGGGCTCCATAGGCCAGTAGTAGTACATTGTAGTTGATACGGAACTCAACAGGTAACCAGTGCAGAGATGATAAAATCGGTGCTATATGATCATATTCTCCTGACCCAGCAAGAACTCCAGCAGCTGCACCCTGTACCAACTGCAGCTTGTTTATTGAGGATGCAGGACAACCAGCCAACAAAGCACTACAGCAATCTAGTCTCGAGGTCATGAATGCGCGAACCAATTCTTCTGCATCAGAAACAGACAGCATGCCATGTAGCTTAGCAATGTTTCCAAGGTGGAAAAAGGCCGTCTCCGTAACATACGAAATATGATTTTCGAAAGACAAGTTGCGGTCCAGTACAACACCCAGGTCCCCTACTGTAGTGGACAAAGCAACAGGACATCCGTCTATATTAAAGTTGTATTTTAAGAGGTTTTGTGAGTAGTTTTTTGGACCAATAAGTAATACCTCCGTTTTATTTGAATTTACAGTTTTTTTTTTCGATTGCTTAAGCACAATTTTTAAAACAGGGCCCGGTTTGTCAAAACACTACACACAATTAACACAACCCTACACCAAAGTAGCACAACACTTCAGATCATTTGCAAAATGGAACACTTTTGTCAAAACTATTCAACATCTTATAAAAACCTTATTTTGCTGTCATAACATGAACACAACCATCATATGGTTTGACTCTGTTTGAATCAGTTAAACACTCCTATGCTCAACCTAAAACACTTTTAGCATTTACAGAGAAAGTGAAAAAAATTAATTCACCAACACCACATGACACAAATTTTTGCAGACTAATGAAAATATTTATTTCTTTTCATGTACTCAAGTCAGTCAATACTGAACATTTCAATGACAACAAAAAAAAAACATTTTCCAGTTTTCATACAGTATTACTGAACGTACCATTGTACTGTAAGCTTACAGTAATACAGATACATATCCAGTTCAGTACTAAACATTTCTCCGCCAAGCTGGTTCTGGCCACAGGGCCTCGTAAACATCATATATATTATGGTATATTTTCATTTGCAAGGCAACATGGGAAGAATCTTTTTGAGTGACGAATCCATGGATGCTGCTTCAATTTGATCACATGCTTCCTTCATAGCTTAAATGAGGGGCATCTGGACATAGGGCCAGAGATCATAAACCTTCCACCGCCATGTTGAGAAGAACTCAACATAGTCCCTTACTGTAAGAAGAAGGGAGTATGGTGGAAATACTGAACTGTAAATTGCTCGTATTGATGAAATGTGGGACTCATGCAGGACTTCCTCCGCATCCATTTGCAAAACTCTCTGAAATACAAGAACACATTGTGTAGATCAATATACTGTAGGTCTGTATATATTAAAAATTACATGTACAGTACGTAAAAAGGTTATGTGTGCAGTACACAATACAGTCAGTGAATAAAACATACCACCACATATTCATGCCACAGGACCTTGACCCTGACTGAATTTTGTTGTCTTCTTCTTTGTGCATGTCCTATCACTCCTCCAGGTCTTCCTCTCCCTCTTCCTCTTCCTCTGACACCGTCCATTTTGAAGACAGGTGAACTTACCTGTTGCCTTTTTATAGTACTTAAACCTGAATGGTGTGTCTACAGTTAAGCACCAGTGTGTGTGCACACCTGGTGGCTGTGTTTAACCAATTGGTTCATGTGTGTGTTTATTTGAAAGCCTTTGCTTTAAAATTGCAAGGAAATTACATCATGATAAATTTCTGTGTCAAATGCATATGTGGCACCTAAAGAATGGGTTTCGTTGCTCTGGACTCAACTATAATACAGCACGACTACGCCACCCTGGGAATTTCACCCCAGGAAATGAGGACATTAAGGACACAGGTTCGTTCCCACAAGATAGAGCAGAGACGTGAATTTGAAAAAAATAATAATACTTTATTATACTAAAAATTAAAGCTCCACACACACACACACATAGTTCAACACACAGATCAATATGACTTCAAATCAAAATAGAAAACAAACAAATCAAAATAAAGAACATCAACAAAAATCAATCAAACAATCCAAGGCGACAGGTCAGATGGCAGCAGAGGTAACAAACCTACTCAATTCTACTTCACTACAAGCACTTCAACCGTATGTTTAATATACTCATTTCACCACAAGCACACGTGCAATTCAGTGACAAACAAATTCAAAGAATCAAAAATCACTCAGTGAACAAGGGTACCCATTAGTTCGGACCTGAGCAGTCAACACTCCTAGCCAATCTGACGAAGCTCACAGATTAGATCACAAATAAACAACAACAAAAAAAGAGGATACAATCACATCATACATGATAAATCAATCAAAAAGAAAAAGAAAATACACTCAAATCATAACTAAACAAGAAAAAAAAAGAAAATACAATCAAATTATACTTCAACTCAAAAGAAAAATACAAATCTCAACCAGAGATATCAAATACAAGTCACATTACTCTCGATCCATAAACCACACACACACTCACTCCTTAAAAGACACACCAATGTCAGTAAGCGTTTCTTGCAAGGGCATTTACACACATATCCATACGCACATCCGACAACCACTCACCCAACTCGCACTATTTTATGGGTTCATTCATACACCACCCGAAATCCACAAACACTCGTCCAGTTCAGTTGAAACAGTGCGGGGCGATCAGCAGCAACCAATGAGAGCGGGCTGCGCGAGTCTCGCGCTCCCCAGCGTCGAGTCCACTGGATACAGGTCGTCACAGGCACAGAAGAAGCGGGGCAAAAGCAGCGCACGGCAGAGAGACGGGACGAAGAAGAACGAAATCCCAAGGGGAATAATTAAATAAGGAACAGAGAAGGGGAAGCCAGGTCACGGTCCCAATCAACTTGCTGCACTCATGGCGATATTACTCGCTCGTCCACTAGAACAGAGGAGGAACACAACGTAAATGATGTCTTTTCGTAAATATTCTCCCATGAAGTCAATACTAGTTTACCCACCTGATTTTCCACAAATCAGTCTTCCCACTGTCAAGCCGCGATAGGTAAACACAGCCCGTCACGCATATTAAAAGCACAAAGCGCATACATACAGCCAGCAGCTCACCACGAATAACAGTATTACTCTCGTACTCTCGTATTACTCGATAACGTACCCAAATGGATGTGCGACTCAGCTCCAGAATCCCCATACGAGAACCGCTCAGCAGGAAAGCAGCAACAGAACTTACAACAGCCTACGCTCTCAATACACAGAACCATTTATGCGTGCTCCCGCACCTATAGCGCACCTGACTCGAATTAGGCAATTACCAGTGCAATCGGCACTCGGGCTGTTACTCCACCTAACTAGGCAACTATGCCTGCTACACATACAAGTGTGTTTAGTGTTTTGCAAATCACTGTGTGTGTTATGAACTGCTCCGAGACATAGAGATGAAGATCCAAATGCAGCTTTAATTGAGAATAGTCGTACATGCTGGGTCGAGAATCGGCAGACAGGACAAGGGGGAATACACAGTGGGAATCCAAGAAACAGGCAGAGGTCAGGGCAGACAGCAATAATCAGAATCCAAGAACAATCCAAAGTCAAAAACCAGAAAACAAACACGGAAAACGCTCAGAAATGCAGTGTAACACTTAAACAAGACTTCGCAAACAGTGAATGTGAACACAAGGTATATGGACAGACTAACAGGATGAGACACAAGTGAATGCAATCAGTGAATGAGGTACAGGTGAATGTGATCAGTGATGATGAGTCTGGGCAGTGAGTTCTGGGAAATGTAGTTAGTTAAACATGAACATCTGGTGTGGAGTGCCCTCTGGTGACGTTACAGTGTGTAATGTTTTGCAAAAAGTGTGAAGCTGACAATGTGCTTACAGTTGTGCAAATCTAGGCCGGTGTTTTGCTCCTTGAGTGTAAGGTTTTGCTTATTGTGGGAAAGTTCTAATTTTAGTGTGTAAGCAATCGAAAAAAACTGTAATAGCAGGAAATTACGCGTCGTCCAGCATTTTATATCTTTAAGACACTCTGTCATTTTAGATGAGTTAGTGTTTTCATCTGATCGTGATGAAATATATAATTGAGTGTCGTCAGCGTAACAGTGGAAATTAATTCCACGTTTTCTTATAATATTACCAAGTGGCAGCATATATATTGAGAATAGCAGAGGGCCTAAAACCGATCCTTGCGGTACTCCATAGTCTACAGACGTTATCTTTGATTTTTTTTCCCATTTACGTAAACAGACAAAATAAAAATGGTCCGATAAGTACGATCTTAATCAGCTTAGTGCCTGTCCCTGGACACCAGTGAAGTTTTGTAGTCGATCCAAGAGTATTTTATGATCTATAGTGTCGAACGCAGCGCTAAGATCAAGTAGGACTAGTATTGAGATACAGCCTTGGTCAGAAGCTAAAAGTAAATCATTTGTAATTTTAACTAGCGCAGTTTCTGTACTATGATGCGGTCTGAATCCTGACTGGAATTTTTCATAGATATCATTTTCTTGCAAAAAAGAGCACAATTGAGCGGACACTACCTTTTCTAGTATTTTGGACATAAATGGAAGATTTGAAATGGGTCTGTAATTTGCCAAGTTATTTGGATCTAATTGCTGTTTCTTAATGAGAGGTTTTATTACGGCCATCTTGAATATTTTTGGAACATGATGTAACCCATGTTAAATTTGGATAATATAATTGCATGTTCTAATAGCTAAACTTTAAATTAAAAAGTTGAAACGATCTATTCATATACATTGTGAATTAATTAATATAAATTGAAATAATATGCATTGTAATTTAGCACCGAACACGTGATGTATTACACGTACACAAGTTGCGTATGACGTCAGCGCATGACACACGGAAGTGTGCGAGACGCGCTGAACGCGAGATGAGAGATGCGCTGAACACGAGATGAGTGATGCAGAAATGGATTAATAAGGTTAATATTGTTAAAATTCATTTAATAAGGTTATAAGCAACTTTATAATACTTTGTGGTTGACGATGATGAATCATTTTAGAATGGTGATTGCTGATTTGAGTGCAGATGCTAGCCGATTGTGAAGCTTCTTTGAATCTGAAACGGGTGTTTAAAAAAAACCTGTGAAACTCGGGATTTGGTGAGTTTATTTGTGTTTTATTTTCTAAAAGGGATGTATTTTATGTCATTATGCATATTATGCACACTGTGAAGTCTATATTGCACATTTTCTGAATGTTAATGTGATTTTTGAAATGTTGAGTAATATATTTTTGCTTAGCTATGAATGTATATTGATTTGCACATTGTTAATATGCCTGTGAGATATCACATGTTCGTCATGAAAGTGAAACTGTATGTTTAAACATTGTTTAAAGAGCAGAAAAGTTATAAAAAAAGTAATATTAAATGTTAATGACACTGTTTTGGTAAAACAGGTCAGGTTTACTGCTTCATTGGAAAAATTCTCTCATGGATTTGAGATGGCGAGCCACCCAAAATTGAATGCTGATTTCTGAGCCTGGGGAAAAGACATTTTTGCTGTATCACAAGGTTTTCGTTGCGCCAGAGACATCAATTTCTTCAGTTAGGAGGACTTTGCTGTTCTGTTTGGACCACTTCTTCGAACTGGTAGGATTGAACTGATTGTGCATTTACCCACTGGATCTCTTAAAGGATTTTCTGGACGATATTCAAGAGACAATTCAAACAAAGAGTTAAAACAAGGGTGTTGTTTATTTAACGTTATTGAATGTGAGTCACATGTGAATATTGAATTTCCTTTTACCATTTCATTGTGACAAGAAGTTTCAGTTGGTCAAATTATTGTTTACATCATTTTATTTTGTTTAAGGGATTATTTTGGTTTGTTTAAACATGGTATAGGAAATTATGGCACAAAAAGCAGAGTAGAATAAGAACCTTAAACTCTAAAATAAAAAAACGAAAGACAGGGAGCTGTCCAAAAGAAGTACAGAACAATCTAATAAGAGTCTTACTAAAGACATATGTAAACAGAGACAAAATAGATAACATTGATTAAACTGATATAAGGAAAAGAAAAAAAGGGGATTTAAACCTTGAAAGAATAAGATAAGAAATTCAAAAGACCACAGAAGGTTTATAATTTGTGTATTATTTTATTGTTTTGTTATTATTGTTGTTTCATTTTATGTATGTGACTGTTCAATTTAAAATTACAAATACTTTCCTTACTTGATGTCTGTGATTCATTTACTGCCAATATTCTGTTCTCCACTGACCTAGAAACTGGTCCATTGCTCCAACCTACATTGAGGGCCCTTGTTACAATGACCTAAAGGTAAAGACGAGTTAATAATATTGAGGAGAGGCTCTTCCACTACAGGTAATAGTTCTTTCAGTAGTTTAGTGGGTATTGGATCTAATAAACATGTTGTTGGTTTGTAAGTGTAAGTTTCTAAAGACTGCTGCACAGTGGCGGCGACTAACGCCTTGAGCTCAAACAACACTAAGAGAGAGCTTACGAATGGTCCAGACCAACCTTACGAAAGTGTGACTTACAGAAGATATACTTAGCATACGAACGTTTCGGGAACCGTGCCATAAGGTTAAGAGAAAGGTTAAGGAATAGGTTAAGAACTACTTAGCGATAAGAACGTTTTGGGGAACTGGGCCCAGATGGTTGACCTGCTAGACTGCTAGAGTGGGTCAACTAGACTCTTCCCTGTATAGGCCTCGTCGACACAACAGCCATCAACACTGATCCTCAACAAATGGTCTCCATTCCAGCGTGACTCCAATCTTCAACAAGATGGAACTGGATTACAGTTTTTCTCAATTGATAAACACTATAACCAGGATTTTGAACTAAAATTTCAAAACCATAATGCCATTTATCAAAAAGCACACCCATTTCCCTAAAATATAAACACTATTCCCTGTTTTGACACATGAGTCAGAATTGTTGAACAATCACCGCAAAACTCTACACACAAATCCATTAATTTCTCATTGCCTAGACCATGTGGTCATTTAGAAAGCACTAGCTTTCAATATTGTTCACTCAAGTCACCATAGTTTCAGCTCAATTAGCACACCATTACCCAGATGAAAACACTAAGAATCACAATTTAACACACATCAGTCAGAACTTTCAAGATGCCCAAAAGTGCCAGAGTCAGTTCATCTGAGTTTTGGAACAATGGATCCACAAATACAGTTTTTCTCAATCGATTTGGTACATTTCTCCAAACTCAGGTCACTGCTCTCAAAACATTTACAGTTTTTCTCAAATGCTAAAACACATTTCACAAACGTTTCGTCCATGTTCTCCAATGTCTAAACACAACACCCTTTTCTAAAGCTACATAAACACAACCACACCTTCTCCCTTCAAAACTCAAACTTTCACACCAAAAGAGCAGCTCGAAGCTTTCAAAAATGTAAACACTATACACATCTTTACACACTACAGGAAAACAATTGAAAACACAATGCTCAATTTGTGAGAAGGTTCATTGTATCATAACTGCCAATGCATATTTTTAGAAACTTTACAGTAATGGATCTTCTTAGATCTCTGCAGAGGATTAATCATTTAGATTTGTGAGTTTCATATGAAGAGTATAAATCTATAGTAAATTCAGTACACTACTGTAACACAACTCAATGCAAAAACAGAATCTATTGCACACAACAGTACTCTTGAAAACATGATCAGGGTGTGAAGTTTTTTTTTACTGTAATTTATTTTATTTACACCACAATCTCTGTGCGGCATCATGTCGCTGAGCTGCATCGGGCCACATCACCTCATCCACATTGCAGGCTATATTGTCTCTTGCCAGACACCGCGGGAAAAACGCCCTGGAATGGCGGATCCATCTTTGGAAGTTCTCCACTGGGATGTCATTGTCAACACACGCCAGTTCCATTGGCCTTAGGAGGTTCTCTAGTGTATGGTTGTCTGTCATAAACCTTCCATCTCCACGATGAGAAGAACTCCTCTATAGGGTTCAGGAAAGGGGAGTAGGGTGGCAGACAGACATTTACTGTAGTCTGATGAGGAGTCAGATGAGGTTGTTCTCACGAACCATATCCACAATGAGGGTTTCTTGTGCCGCTGTAAATATGGCAACCCTCACACCTCTATGTGGCATTCTTTCAACTCTAAAGAAAGAAGCGTGTTGTCAATTGACATGTTTTACAATACAGTAACAACTGATTTGAAACCAATAGACTACTTTCACATGCAGGCTTGAAAAATTGTATTGTGACTTAGAAAGCAATAGAGTACAATACCTGTTGTGTTACCTGAGTTTCCCACCATTAGCAACAGGTGTTTTCAATTTTGAGTTGTTGTGTGTAATGAATGACGCCAGATGTGTTCATTTTGTTCAAATATTGCTGACTGTGGCAAGCATTTTGCATCACATGAGCTTTCATTTGAGAATATGAGCAGAGTTCTTTTGCAACTTGTGTTTTAGCAAGGAAAAATGTGTTAAGATTTATGTGAACGGAGGATTGTGTTTTGTGACTTGTGTCTTCATGTGAAATGTGTTTTTGATATTGGAAAATGATGGCTAGATTTAGTAAATGTGTTTAGACAACTGGTCATTTGGTTTAGAGGATTGGCTTTTGTGTTTTAGCATTTGAGAAAAACTGTAACACAGTGATCTGTACACTTCGTAATGGTCCTAAACAGATAGTAAATTCTCCTTCATTTCATACAAATTACAAATCAAAAGCATAATTTTCTCAAAACACTGTGCACAAAATTCCCTAATGTTATCACAGCAGTTCATACACCCAACCGAATCTTTAATATATCAGGAAAAACTTTTGCAACTTTTTCATTGGTCTTCACAAAGATCACAAACATTTTTGTACCATTTTCAAAACTCAACAAACAAAACTCTATGAATTGTAAAATAGTCAGTTGCACACCTTATGTCCTCAATTAACCCCGAATTGATATCTGATGAGTTACAGTTTTTGCCCATTCCTTGAACACTATAGAACCATGCTTAGACTAAAGTAACACAACTTGAAGCTTTTTTTACCATGCCTCAAACACATGTACCCATACTTTAAACAAAAGTGTTGCTTTGCACTCTAGTTGCAATTCTCCAACACACTTACTCCTTTATGCAACACACTTGGTCCTTCATACTACACTCTATTTCATACATAAGACACTTTGTTCAAAAATGAAATCTCAGGGTGCCATTTGGAAAACACATGTATTCAAAATACAAAACACATTGGGTTATTGCAACCACTCAAATACACATCCGAAGGCACTTAATTGCAAAACTGAACACCAATCAGCCAGCTACAAAAAGCCCTCAGTTTAGCCATTTTAAGAACTTTGCAAGCATGGATAGAGGGAGGGAGAGCAAGAGGAAGAGGAGGAGGAGGAGGTCAAGGTCGAAGAGGCCATGCACGGACTCTGATGATATACTGTAAGAGCAACTTTGGTGGACCACGTAAACAACCATGGCCTGACGATGAGGGAGGCTGGGCAGAGAGTCCAGCCACATTTACATAAGGCGCTTCACAGTGACATCTATAATAAGAACATTCCGACTAGAAAACAGGTATGTCTTCACCTCTCTACCTTCTACTCCACTCAGATGGTATTTACAGCACTATAGTGTATATCACATCAATGACTAGAAGACCTTTTGGGAGAGGACGCCAACGCCTGTTCACACAACAGAAGGAACTCACCATTGTGGACCTAGTGAGGGCAGACAATGCCATCCGTCTCCACCAGAAAATACTTGCTTACAGAACAGTGTTCAACAACATAAACCATGTGAGGATCACCACCATCAGATGCATCTTGGGAAAACACAGCATCACCATGAAGCAGCTCTACAGAGCCCCATTTGAGAGGAACAGTGACAGGGTCAAAGGACTTCGAGCTGAATATATATGGGTAAGTGTAACTGTCCTTTACATGTACAATACAGTATTGGTGAAATCCAGTACCAGCTGAATATGTACCATATCAGGACCACATGGATCCATTTGGAGAGCTTCACAGGTACCTGTGATGGGGTGAGGGTTCTGTATGCGCAGTACTATAGTGCAGCAATATGCTCTATACTGCAACAACCAACATATACTCACATTTCTAGATGCTCTCCATAATGTATGTATACTGTAATATATATATATATATATATATATATATATATAGTGTTTTTTTTTCTATTACAGTATTACTGTATTATATATATATTTTTTGCTTTATCTGAATTTATCTTACTGCAATGTACAGTGCTGCAATGTACAATATTGAGAAGGCCTGTTTGCTTTTTTGGTTGTTTGAAAATGTTTCTCCTGAAAATATGCCTTCTGAATAAACAGTCAAAATCAGAGACTGCAGTGTTTTATATAAAGTAGAATAGTGTGTTTCCTCTGATCTAAAAGTGTTAGCATAAGGTGCAAGTATGTGTTATTTTGTCATCAGAGTTACATTTTGACAAAGGAATGTTAGGTTTTGATCGTAGAGTTTCAGTTTGACACAGATGTCAATGGTACGTATATTTTCCAGTGTTGTGTCATGTTTACTTGTGTGTAGGGTTTTGGCACAATGAGCGAAATT